GAGATATGAAATAAGAAATCATCTTGGACATGATAGTTCTCGTAAAAAACGTAAATAAAACACTGAAAAAGGTCAAATGCTTCATTAACACATAAGTTACACAATGTTTTACTGTCTTTTGTCGCTTGTTTATGCAATTTCCATCCAGACGAAACCCACCGGTCAAAACTAAATTCACAACAAATGAAAATGTGGCACAAATATGAATACATTTGGGCTTAACTGTTGGTTGATGCCATAATCTAGTGACTCATTGTACTACAGTGGTTGAAGAGCATCGCATTGCTTTTTTGAGAAATACCTCTGGGGTGGAAGCGTTTTACTAGTCATGTGGCATATGTGATATTGTTCAAAGCAGATGTAGCATTGATTAGGTAGTTTAACACCGAGGGCCTGCAGCTAATGTGCTCCATTTCTTTGAATATCTCTGCACCCAGATCTAATCTTAAAGCTCCCTGTGGGGTTCATAAGTATTTTCTTCTAAAAAAAATTTTATTGTGAGGAACTAAATTGTCTTTATAGTGTTTGGTGCTTTCTAGGGCCCGGAGGGGTGAAAATAAACTAACACTGGGTAAATACAAGGCATACATAATTCAAAAACACATAAAGGTGGGATATTCAACATCGGAAATTAACCCAGGGATTTGCTCGACAACAAACAGAACACGATGTAAAATAAGTCGCCCGTTTTGGCACGCTTACACGACATGCTTTCCAGCGGAGATAAAATTTGAATTGGCACACGGCCCACCTGGTTGCTGATATCTGGAGTGGGATGTTCTCCAGTATTGGCAGCTTTCAGTCCACTGACACTTCAGACGACATGAAAGCACATCGTGTCCAGGAGTGCTGGCTCCCCAACACTCGTCCATCTCAGCGCTTCGTTAATTATTCTGAGTCGCTCCTCCCTCTGCTCTAACACTACACACAGCAGCAGCTTTATATTTGATTTTACAAAAGTGCAACACTGTGATGTTGCTGATTATCTTGTTGTCATCATTACTCATTCCCACATTGTACATAAAACAAGAGTTTTCAGTGTATTCCAGAAAGATGTTTAGTTTTGAAGGGGAGACGATGTGCAGCAACATTTTAAACCTAAATCTAAAACATCTTGCACTGCTGTACATGACAGATAATCGCATCTTGTAATGGATTAAAAAATACCCCAATAAGTCCTGCATGACAAATCCTACTGAAGGAAAAATACAAAGCAGCTAATTGTAGGTAAATTATTGCAGTAAAAGTTCCACTGTGGTCCCTCTGACTGATTTATTATTGTATCTGCCATCAATAGATTATTAACAGTGAAGCATCAGTGTGTCGGCAGCTGGTCACTGTTGGAGCTGCTGCAAATAGAGTTTAAACTACGATATAATCAGTTTTACACACAGTGACAGCAGATGAATCTGAAGGGAAGAGGGAGGAACGCATAAATCATTTTTTTTGATTTTTGCCGAGGTATTGGACATTTATTGAAATGAAACCATGTGAGAGGGAAAACAAATCACTATTTAGGGGAGCTGTTAACAACTCAGACATCTGAGGTGTGATCTGATTACACACTGCTGTTTGTGAAAAGCCCAAAATGCTGGAAACCACTGGTTGAATCCTTGATGATGTGCTGTATTTGAATTTTTTTGTTATATTATCCACTGTGTAAAATCTGCATCTTAAAGAAGCTGTCAGATAAATGTAGCTGAGTAGAAAGAACAATATTTCCATCAGAAATGCAGCAGAGTGGAAGCATGAGGACTGGTTTTTAGACATGAGGTAGTTTTAATGTGCAGTCTGCCCTCCTGCATATTTGAAGGAATGTTTTTTTTTTTTCTTTTTCATGTGAGTGCTTTCAAAATATAGCTTGCTGTTTCTACAAACCAACATACCTTCAAATTTCAACAGTTCGATGGTTAGTTCCTGCTGTCTACAGTCCAATGCAACAGTCATCTCACATGCAAACAGACAAAGTAAAAACAAAAACGTGTCACCTCTCAGAGAACACAAACAGCATCTCCCATTAAGCAAAACTGGGACAGGAGTTCAACAGAATACAGAAACACACCACGCCATTAGAGGAAACTGCTACTGAATGCTCAGTGATTGTTTATGGATAAGAAATAGTCCACAGTGCTGCACAGAACGCACAGAGAACAACTGTACATGTTGGGTGTCTGTGCACTTTAAAATATGGCTGTTATGATACCCAGTTCTTACTGTTCAATTATTATGGAAAGAAGAGTTCACAATAACGACACTATGTCAAACATTATTAATGCAATCAGTCAAATTCATTTACTGTGTGTGTTTTGTTTCTGAATTACACTCAAAATATGAGCGTATGGAGGTGGAGGGAATCTCTAAACCAAACTGTTTTCCCCATAGTATTGTATAGTATCCTAGTTTAAACAAAAGAGAGGTTTCACGAGGTACATTTTATTTCCTTTGGTTAGCTGTGTCCCTTTGTTTAAAGCCTTTATGCTAAGCTAACTAGCTGTAATGATACACTGTATGAAATGGATACCAAAAGTGTCTTGGTCACCCCACGACAAGGCAAATAAGAACATTTCATAACGTCGTCAAACTACAGCTCCAACCTGCAGCGCGCTGAGCTCCGTCAGTTACCATAGCTACCCTCGTATGGATTATTTGAGTCTTCCAATAATGAAATCATAGCTGTGTGTGCATTTAAAAGGTCATACATGTTCTGCTTTTTAAAAAAACAGATTTGCCGAAAGGAGCGTAAAGGAAGATTTGTGAGTGATTCTGGGAAGAACGTACACAGAACAACACTGCAAATAAAGAGCAAAAAGAAAGATTAACATGGCTCCTTAACAGTGCGTGTGCACGTTTATCATATATGTGAATGTGTTCAGCAGCGCTACACATGTTCACCACTTACTGTTTGTTCAACACTCGCTCTCAACTCAAGTATTCTACTCATGTGATGCTACTCTTGGAAATGAGATGTTGTGGAATATCCTCTGTTAAGTTTTGCTTCCAGCCCATGAGACATTTTGGTGGTGGTGATATATATATATATATGTGTGTGTGTGTGTGTGTGTGAGTGTGTTTGCCTGTGGGTAGGTGGTATTTACAGACTACTAACATTCCTCTCCTTGGCACCCCACTATGTCCCCTCACTTTCTAAACCTTTGGACACCATGCAGCAGTCACTATGGCAACACCCCGACCAAATTTATTGGTGGCTGGGGGCTGGAGCGGAGGGCTGGGGGATAGGTGGAGTTTTATTAGGGTGAGAACAGGATGAGGGTGTAAAAAACAGTTTTCTTGGGTTAAATCGGTGACCTCTGAAAGATTTTTTTTTTTGCATGAGGTTTGATCAAAAAGTTGTGAGACTAAGCGATAACAATGTTTGATTTAAATTTGGGCAACACGCCTGTTAAAGCAGCATCATTGTGCACTGATACGCCACATCTCATAACGCTTCCTGTAAGTCCCACTATGTAGCCCACTCAAGCACCGTGCAGAATCTCCTAAACTGTGTCAAAACAACAACTTCTTTAAAAACTTTAAGTCAATTCTAGAGAAGATGAAGAAGCTACAGGGAGCCAAATCTGGTGAGTAGTAGGGCAGGTAGGGAGCTACATTTGTCTTTTGTGGATTAAAAAAACTCACTGCACTGTAACCAAACGGGCTGTACAGTTAGAGTAGTGATGCAAACCTCAGGGTGTTACAGTAGAACTTGACAGTCCAAACCTTGGCAATGCACATCCATGAGAACGTTGAGGAAACAATGAGCATGCTCCTGGTGCACTCCTGACCTACTAAGTCTTGTCTAGTTTTAGCAGCTCTTCCACTGTGAAAATTGTTGTTTCTTCTCTTGATGGTAGCCGCAGACCCACCTCTAATCACCATGATGATCCTCAACATGAAGGTTGGATCATGTTGGATGCTGACTGACACAGATGTGATGTTTGTTCTTTGTTCTAGTTTGAGGAAATGTGCACCCCTTCTCGAGTATAAAAGAGGTCAAGCTGTCGGTTGTTGTCAGTTGTTGATTGCACATGTTGCAAGCAAGCAAGATTTTTCAGCTGCAGGCTGTTGGAAATCAGCCTGGTAGCTAGACTATATAAAGGTTTGCAACTCCTCTCACTTGGGGAGTGTGGCTCTGGAGGCAGCACCATCAGCTGTCCTCATTGGGAAATGTTGAGTTTGAGTCTCCGAAAATGGGAATTAAGTAGCTTTCTTTCTTTTTCAAACCACCTCATTCAAAATAGTGACTCCTACCTAAGTTGTGTTGTGGGACATACCCTTTTATAGTTATTATGTCCTTCTGATAGACTCAGTGGGCAGTAGTTAGGAGAAATCCCTCCACTGCCTTTTAGAAAAATGAAGTCCCAACCATTCAGCTTAGTTAGTTTCCCCATTTTACGACCTTCGTGAGCTTGTCTGTTTTTCTGTAGGGCAGGGAAACGTAACAGTGAACATAACTGACGTTGAAAATGTGTCAGTCGATTTATTTTGAACATTTTTTCTTTGTTTTTCTTCAGTATCACTACGTACATGAGTTGTTTTTGGCTCCAGTCATTGGTCAGCTACAGTCAGCAGTCGAGTTCTGGAAAGTTTTAGGAAGCAACAACTTGGTTCAGTGTAAAAGCTTCCCTGCCTTGAAAATATAGGAATATTTCTACTTATTGCAAAAACAAAAACGTAGTTTATTGACTGGGAGTTTTGATGGAGTACCACAGCACAGATAATGCACAGCAGCTATTCTGGAGTGTTGTCTGTTCATTAGTACGGAGTGCTTTGTGTATTTTTTGTGCTTGTAGCTGCTAAAAAAGTTCAAAACTCAAAAATAAAATAAAATGTTTTGGAGCGAAATCTGTAAAATAGATTAATAATAGTCTTCAGTGGCAGCTCTATGATTATTTTAATTAACCTGCCCTGTATTACGAGGTGCTATTAAGTGTGTGTTACGTATGCGTCTGTGTACACTCAGTGTGCCTGTGTTTGTATTGACAGAAATCTGAGCCACTGACCTTTCTGTGCCAGCGAAGCATTGGGTTCGTATTTGTCCACCAGCAGCTGGACCTGCTCCGGCTTGAGAGGAGGGTAGAGAATCTCGTTCAGCCGAGGGTCTCGCTGTTTATTGTTAATGAACTCCGTCATCTGCTCCACCGTGAGGTAAGGTCGACTCTTAGCCCCGCTGGTCGGAGAAGCGGGAACACGGGGAAGGAAAAATTAGAGAAAACATGGCGAGGGTTTACTAAGCAGGATGTGGGCAACCAGAACAGAATCCTAAAACTGAGAAACGAGGAGGAGATGATATCGGGGAGTAATTAAAGAGTCGCGGTGAAGGGGGGGGAGAGCAACAGACGTGCAAAGGAGCAGAGGATTAAATGTTGTGCTGAGTAAATTATGAGATTTGATTAAAACGCCTTTCATATCTAGGACTGTTCCAGTAAATTATCTTCTCCACATCCTCCTGGCTCTCGTGCCATCTCACTTAACTGTGATTAAAATCTAGATTTATGGCTTGGAGTGGCACCGGTGGAGCTGGCTCGCTGCCCCGGCTGACGGTCGGAGGCCCTCTGGGGGCAAAAGGGGCAGTTCTGTCTCTACACGAGGGCCAGGAAATCACAACCAGGATCATTACTACACACTGTTCTGGACTAATTACCTTCTCATGATGGCTTTAATGGGTGAAAGCAGATGTCTTAAACCTGTAGAGTCACATTATCCTTTCAAGGCGTTATCTACTGTAGCTCCCAGTCTGAGGAGAGCAACAGGTCGCTTTCGCATACAAGCTTTTTTTCTTATAAACTAGAAATTCCTGAATTATTAAACAGTATAAAAGGCAAAGACAGTCGAGTTCTTACACGTCAGAGAAGATGTGGTCGAGATCGGGTCGAGAGCAGATGTTGCTCAGGAACAGGCCGTACACCTCTGGAGTGAAGTCCTCCTGGGGGATGGAGTCGCTCTGCAGCGAGACAACAGCAACATATGAATCATAGATGCATGTAAAATATGGGGCAACAGGTGGCCGAGCAGTCGGCTGAAGACGTGCAAATGCACACAAAACAGCTAAATCTGAATTTAGAGTACTAAAAACACTGTTCTACAACATTTCCAGCTCAACATTGCTCTTAAATATTACACTAAAAAAGAAGAAAGAAGAAAAAAAAAAAGAATAAATGCATCTACATATGTATCTATAAAATATTTATACCTTTAGCTGATTTAAACAATACATTTTTAAATAATAAGCAGTTTAATGGTCACATTGTAAAAGGACAAATCACTGTTTTTAAAAATACTAATTTTTGATGTGATGTTTTGATCATTTATCAGATTTATGAGGAGACATTACTTATAGCTTTGGTCTGTTTTCACGGTTAACATGTGAATTACTTTTTTTTGTGATTTAAATATTTATTATCTATAATGTCACTAAACAGGGAAATCTGGAAAAAAAAACAAAAAACAGTCGACTGTTCATAAATTACAGCTAGAAACTCGTTAAAACAGTATATTATCAGTTCTTTTTGTGGTTTTATTTGTTCAAACAGCCTTTATTTGGAGCCGTCCCCACTAATGCGTCTCTTATTTATCTGTAAATGACTCGTGACTCGTGTGACTTGACATTTCTAAACATCTTCAACCTCAAGTACCTTCAACCTAAGAACAGATCTGTACATACGAGTAGTCCTTGCATGAGGCCTGTCGAGTGTTTACGACCGCAGAACCCTACAGCTGACCGTCTCAACGCGATTAGACGGCCCTTAAGCTGCGAATAATTAACAGAAGACGACCGGTTGCAATTTGCGCCTGGAGAACGACCTCCTTATAGAGCTATCAGAGGCTCCCGGGTCTGATGAAGACACAGCGGCCCGGCAGCAGGCAGCAGCATTGTGCCAGCGGGAAACAGAGCAGAACCAGACAGCGGTAGAGAGGAGAAAGGGAGGTGAGGAAAGATGCGCCGAGGGAGGAGGGATGCAGGTCAAGCCCTGCTGAAACTCACCGAGTCGCTCAAAAGACCTCGGTGTGCGAGCTGAGTTGTGTGTTTGCCTCCGAGTGTGTGTGTTTGAGGGATTAACAGCAATACCATTTAGCTGTAATTACTTGCGCAATGGAATAACAGCAAATCCCACCAGACCTTCGTACGGCAACACGTTTTTACCTCCTGCTCTCTCCCCGTGCTAATTATTTATAGCTTGTTCTGTGTGTGTTTGTGTTTGTGTGTGTTCCGTCTGTTTGTATTCAGAACAGAAGCCATTCATTACAGCTCCGATGCGCCCACCCTACAGTATGTACATATGCTTCGGCATGTGTTCAGAAGTGCATTAAACAGCATTTTTCCCCCCACTTTCAAGGATGTAAATTACTTGTCATTCTCCTGTTAGAATACAGAGATTGTGTGTTTGGGGACTCAATGCATGAGGGCGCAGCGATATCCAAGAGAGGTAGAGATACACAAAAAAAAAAACAGCTTTTTGTCATCTCCATTGCTCCCACTGGGTCTATTTGTTTCATTACAACTCAGGCTAAAATCAGTTCTGAGTGGGAAGTCGTGCAGACATCCAGAAAATAAGTCTCCAAAACAGATGAGCGAAGCAGCAATCAGCCGCCGCGTCAGGAGAATAGAGGAGGAGCGTGTGATGGATGGACGGAGGAGATGAAAGAGGAGTCAGATAAGACGAGGAGGGACACAAAATATGAGGAGACAGTTAAAAAAAAAAAAAAAGAAGGGGAGCTTCTGTGTTTTTTTTCTCACTCTGCCAGAAGGGAGGTTACAGTTTTCCAGCGCCGTCTCCACTCGTTTCCTGTCTGCCGAGAACATCCTGAAGATACTGCGGGGACACAAAAAAACACACCCTTATGAGTAATCACAGAAGACGCCACGCAGACAGATGAGTGCTCGCTCTCATCCTCCGTCTTGCTTCCAATCGCCCTCGTATGAAGGATATCCTGCGAGAACCTGTAGTGGATCTGGACAATGAAAGGAAGGAATAAAAATGCAAAAAATAAATGAGTGAAACACAGAGCGGGAAGGACAGAACGCAACACTGACTTAAAGACAAATATGAAAAATGTAATATAGAGGATGCAGAGTGAGGATGCAGAAGAAGAAAGCACATCCAGCAGAAAGTAATGCAGTCTAACAGCCCCGCAATAAATTCTACATTCATGAAGGCTCCCGTTATTGCTGAAAGTGTTTTAGAGAGATATTGATTTAGCTTTTTCCTTTTTTTTTTTTCTGGAGCTGTAGTCCCTGATGCTGGTGAATTATATTGTGTTTCCCAGGGAGGTGTTTGTAATATGCTCACAGTCATTGGTGTAGATGTGCAAGACTGATATAAACGCTTTCAGACCTGTCTCGTCAGAGCATGTCGGCTTCATGTCTGAATGAGCATCCACTCATCTAACTAGTAGGCTCTAATAACAGCATCACTTTCAATCCCAGTCTAATCTGCATTTACAGAGTGACATACTTGGAGTTGTCTTTTTTTTTCTCTCCACATTTCAGCCCCAATATTGGTCCAAAAACCATCACAGAGTGCAAAAGACACTGATTGCAGCCTAAATTACCTTTTATGTCAATTTTGCTCCACAATTTTGCACCAATTACAAACTGAAATGTCCAGAAATCCAACTTTACTGCACTGAGTCTGTAACAGGTCAGATTAATGAGATTCAGAATCAAGGTTGTTTTTTTAAACAGCAGCTGAAGTTTAGTTTGTTGCTTCCAGCTGTTTTTAGAAGTCTTTCTTTCGTTTTTATTAAATATCTGCAGGCTTCAGCTCACCTTGCTGAGCTTGCAACCCATGTACAGGGGCTATAGTCTCCGATGCAGCGGCCATGGGTTCGAATCCCACTCATGGTCCTTTGCTGCAACCCCTTCCCCTTATTCTCCTCCCCCATGCTCCTGTCTCTGTTTCAACTGTCCTATCCAATAAAGGTAAAAAATAATTTAAAAAAAATAACTTTAAATATCTGCTGGCTCCATATGAGCTTTAAAACAAGAGAGTTGTGCAAATTTTCATGAACTTCATTAACCCTCAAACAGGGTTTTTGTCGTTATTTTGCTTCTGTCACATTTTTACTCACTGTTTTTAAATGCAATATAAAGTCCTGTAGCTTTACGGAAACAACACAACTTTGGCTAGAAATAGGGAGAATCTGAAAATAGATTTTGTGCAATATAACAAGGCTATAACACCATTAAAAACAAGTAGATTTTCTGTGATTATTTAATTTACAAAAATGGCTCTTCGTATGACACAAATTTTACTACTTAGATATGAACTTATTTCAATAATTGTCACCTATCTGCTCTGTCTAAACAAAGCCTCCAGTTCAGCCAGAAAGCTTTGAATTTTTTTACATAATCTCGTTTATTTTTGGTGAATTTTTCAAACAAGACACGAAGAGTAGCAGAAAGGGATTCTGATGAAATGTTAAAATTTTAAGCTTAAACTGAGTTATTTTTCCTGATGGAACTTCCATTCGATGAGTCAAAGACTTTTAGAAAATTGAAAGCCAGTGATTCATTCTGTTTTGACAGATTCTGGGTCTGATGAATGCTGTAATTTTAGTGATTCTCTCAAAGCTTACAAGTTTGTCAAAGGGTGATTTGGGGTTTGGAGGGTTAATTACTTAGAGTCACTTGTGTACAGTCTTCAGTACGACAAACATCGTGAGTGATCTAAAAGTGACCTTGAATACTGTCACTGTGACAAACTGACGGAGCCTAAAAAGGGCTTTGGTGTACTTTCTACAGACGTGATACAAACTGCATGTAGAGCTACTAAATGGACGTTTTGTATTCACATTTATATGTAAATTCTACACACGGTATGATGTGATCTGACTTGAATACTGCTTAGGCTGAACTGCACACATCTAAACTCCAGATGGCAAACAGCATAAACACACAAAAACAGACAGTGTTTGTGATTCTTTATGAAGTCGATGTAACCCCAAACAGAGACGAGCGCGCACAGCTGCATCTGCAGTTGTCATTTCTTATATTACTGCCATCATCATTATCATTACTGTTATCGAATCACAGTTATGCTCTCGTAATGCCACCAGATGCATCATTACTTTGTGCATAAATAAACAAAAGACATGCAAAAATAATGCTTCTGGCTTCCTTTACATGCATGTAAATAACTCAGGATGAAACTATTCTATAATCCTGGTTTCTTGAACTCAGCAGAGACATAACAGACGACCCTGATAGACCCGACTTTATGTGTGTGGTGGAGCTTCTGTGTATAGACGATAAATGTGATGTATTGCATTGAACTCCGGTGTCATTACAGTCACTGCAGGATATTTAGGTCTGTTTCCACTGGCCATAGGCTGTTTTAATTACTCGCAGAGGTATGTCTGATCCATGAGGACACACTGTATGCACAGTGGGGGAGCAGTGTCAAGCTGACATTAGTCAAACTGACATGTCCTCCCAGCAAGGAGGTTAATTCCCTAAACGGCAAGGAGCATCTCCCTGCCTCTCTGTTTTTCACACCCACCGCTTTCCTCCGCGGCTCTGAGGGAGGTTATCGGAGAAGTTCACCGCTGCTGCTGCTGCTGCTGCCTGAAAACTCCACTTGACTAATGGAGATGGAGAGAGTTGGATTTTCAATGAGGTGATGACAAACTCCCAGATGAATGAGACTTCCTCAGGAAAATTCTCACATACAGAAAAAGTTTGAGCTGAAGGCAGTAAAAATAACAGACCCAGGATACGTAACGCTGCAGCTCCATCAATCTGTATAAGTGACAGCATGCTGTCAATCAGACATACGTCACTTTTAACGTTCCCACCACCTTAATATTTGTCATTCACGTGAGGTTGGCCAGTACATTAGGTGCTGTTTAATACATAATAATGCACAAATTAAGAAAATCCAAATCCACTGTGCAGCTGTAGCTTAAAAACCGTCCATAGGATGTGTCATCTTTAAGCTTCCCATTCATAATCAATGCAGCAGCTGTGTAATGCATTCTGCTAGCAGTGTGTTGCATTTTGAGAGACGAGGCGTCACGTTGGCCGCTCCTCATTTTCATAACGTTGAGGTCTCAGCTACTTTATGCAAATCAGAGGCAGCCAGCATAACTCGCCGCCTCTGGAAATGACGGAGTGTAAACTTTCTAAACTAACTGCTGTCGATTTAACATGAAATCAGATACAGCAGACTTATTTCTCCAATGTTTTTCAACCTTTCGGTGAACTGTCGCTGTCGCATTAAAGGAGAAAGTTTCCAAACAAGCTGGTTGAGTTTTTGAAATCCAGGAGCAGACAGGCTACAAGTGATCCAATCAGGTGCAGCCAGTGTTTGCACTGATGTGGGAGAGATTGGTTTCTTGTTGGAAAGCGTCTGTCGGTCGTCTATCGTGACACTGCCTGTGGACATCCACCATCACACTGTGCAGTTTCCTCAACTCGGACGGACTGACTTGTTGGTAGATCCTGATCCATCCTGTCACCATGTTGGAGATTTTGCACCTTCTGCCTCATGCACCTTGTCTCTAAATAGCGAACCTACTGTGACGGCCCCCAGGTTTGGCCCTATCTTGTCTGCTGTTTTTTCCCCTTTGTTTCAGGAGGCTGATGGGTGGAGGTGAGGCATCTGCAGTGATGCTGCACACCTGAGTAGGAGGAGCTCGGAGGCTAGAAATGAGATCTGTAGGAGCTTCTCACTCTCTTCCCCTGGCCTAATGACAGAGACTGTTGTTGTTTTGTTGGTTTCCTACAAACCATTCACTCACCCAAACAATGCAGACATACTGATAAAACATATTTTTGGTATAACTGACTTATTGTTCCCCATTAATATGTCATAATTTGCAGACTATGTGTGGTCTTCCTCTTTTGTCTCACACTTTGAGCCAGGTTGTGACACTACACGTTTCCATACAGCTGCACCTCGTCTGATATTTTTACACTATTTTAAGTGATCACATTAAGGTGCAACATCAGTTAGACTAATGTTTTAAAGTTCTTAATACACCAAACAATCTATCTTTACAACAACCTGTACCACTTTTTCATAGATACACATGCACATCAGTTAATTTTTGCACATTTCTTTCTGTACTTTTAAAAATGTTGCCTCCATTTGTGAATGCACTGACAGGATTGCTGTACAATAACAATAAAGGAACTCTATTCTGCTCTATTAATCTGGAGACACCCATGTGGATTCTGACGCTGCAGGTGTTTAATAAACTCAGACGAAAGACTCCTACAAACAGCTGGAAGCAACAAACTCAACTTCTGAGTCATTAGCCTGGTGTAGTGTGTCTTAATCGTAGTAAAGTTGTATTTCTTTTGACATTTCAGCTTTTAATTGATGTCAAATTGTAGAGCAAAATAAATGAGAAGGTGTTTTGTGATTCTGGCTGCAAACTGTGTCTTCTGCACCCTGTGAAGTGGAAAAAGTCTTTCTCAAACCACTTCAAACAAACAACAAATGTTACTTGATCCAACCTAGTAAGATTGCTGTTGCAATTTTTCATAGAAAATTGACCAATCAGACATAAAGCCAACACCTCAAAGAGGATACACACAATATGCACAAACCAGTGGAGACAAAGCAAAAAGCGGTGACAGAAAAAAATGAAGCAAATTTTTACAGCAGAGGCTGAAGCGTCGTGGAAATAATAAGAGGGGTGTGTTGTGCTGACAGAAGTGAGGGATAATATATTCTAATATATACACACATATATACGAGGAGAATGTGAGCATACAGATAGACCCTGGGAGCGAACAGAAAAGGCAGAGGAAACTATGCATTGATCAAAAGAGCGGAGAGGTGGCAGGGGAGAGGAGGATGAGTCAGAGAGACTTACTTCTTGACAGGGATTCGTCCCTCAGGGTTGAGCTGCAGCTTCAGCCGAGTGTATCTGCATTGGACAGAGCACACGCCTTAAACAACACGTAATAGCTGTCTGTGAGCAGGATTCCTGTTCAGTTTATGTGATGTGCAGAATAATTTGCTGTGATTTCCATACAACACTGTGGTGAAAACGCACTCGGAGCTTCGCCCTGCGACTCGCTTGCACATGTACAGCTCTCTGCACACGCCACGCGTATCTGTCTGTGTTTACATGACAGGGTAGAATTGCGGTTAAGCCCTGGAAGTCTCAAGTATTGGCAGCGTAGAGCCATGCAGCAGCAGCAGCAGCAGCAGCACAGGCAGCGCAACCTGGGCTATAAATAGCTTCGCTGCAACAGGAGCCATCATTACAGGCTGGGCTTTAAGTGGCTGCTGGCTAATAATTAATATCCATTACAGTGTCCACTTCACAGGGCAGGCCGGCTGCCACGGGCAAAGTCACCGCCGACTTTAATGGTTAACAGGGGTCAGACTGGTTTTTTGTCTCCAGCATTCGTTTCTCAAAAATGAAGGGGAAGTGAAAAGCATTAAGAGCTGGTCATTAAGCTTGACAAAGACAGACAACAAAATCTAAAATAAAAGGCTCAAGTAAGAAGGACGAAACAGCGAGTTGTTTCTCGATACCCTCGTGTGGCTCTCGAGTGCTTGTATTATTCATAATGACAAGGAGGGAAGGGAAAACCGATTACTCACAGTCTCCTCTTCTGTTTAACTTTCTTTTTCTTTCCTTATTTACCCCCTTCGAGTTCGTCCTAACGCAGGAAGGTCTGCCCATTTCTGTACTGTCACGTTACATTTTTGGCATTACAGGGCTGCACAATACACCGTTTGAGCGTCGACACAGCTGCCACACTGCAGGAGATGCAATGTGAAGTAATGCAAATTAACCAAAGCGCATTACGCTACAGCTTTGTTTGCTGCTTGATATGAAAAAAAAAAAAAGAAAATGGTCACAGTTCTTATTTTCCATGACTGATGGAGAAGAATGTCTGATTGAGCATCGTTTGCTCCCAATTTCCAACTTTATTCACAGTTCGCTGACATGCAGACTTAACACATCAACAGCAAAATGAGGAGAGAAACGCTGGAAAGGATGATTTGATCAGCTGTGTGGAAATATTTCAGCTACAGCACGGATGATGTTGACAAAAAAAAAACAGATACTCTGTTGTGTCGTGTCTCGCCAACGCACAAGCCAATGCCGCTAATTTGTTTGCCGATTTAGCACCAAGCAGTTTCTGGGCATCATTTTTTGCTTCTGACACATTTTTTCCCTCGTTGTAGACTCATTTTTTTACTGTTGTGTAAAGTCCTGCACGTCTATGGAAACACAACTATGGCTAGAAGTAGAGAGAACTCAGAAATGTCTCATAAATCATAAAAAAACAACAAGTTCAAGCAAAAAGTTGAATTCTTTGATTATTCATTTCACAAAAAATGAAAGAAAAAAAAATGCCTGAAACCAGCAGGTACATATTTCAAAGTGCCCACAGGTGTCACCAAAAAAATGGAAGCCCCACATGCTATAGATATTTTATGATTTATATTTATTTTATTTTGTTTCTGTACTTGTCTTCTGTCTGCTGGATGTAAACACAGCCTGCAGTTCAGCCGAGTGCTGCCCAAATTTTCGTGATTGCTAAGGGTCACAAAATGTGTAGTTTTTCACAGACTCTGGAGTAAATTCTTTATGTTGGGTACATGTTTTTAAATGAGGCGTGTAGAATAAAGCGAATTTAAGGCTTAGATTTGATCATTTTTGCGACAGAACGCAGGTTTCTTTCTGTTTTCACAGTTCCTAGCTCTGATAAATGGTGTAATTTTGGCAATTTTTAAAAAATAACACGTCTTTCAAGCCCGGGTTTTAGAGATCAGAGGATAAATCGGCACCGCGAAGCTCTAAATGACGAGTGCAAAGCCAGACCCGAATGCCATCCAAAGCAAGAATTACACTACGAGAAAGGTTCCAGAGGGCTTTTTCTTAGTAATTCAAGTCATTTGGTGAAAATTCATGTATGTTGCCCTTTATTCACAGGTCACTGCGCCGCAAATTGTGCGCTTGTAACCCTTATTGTTGAAGCACAGGGGAATATAAAAAGCCTATCAGGTCTATTGTGCTGATGTCAAAAGAAAATCTTGTAGCAAAAAGCAAATTGAATGATGCTGAGAACGTATATGCTGCCTCCACCCCCCCAAAAAACCTATAAATCACAGCTTTAAGAGGCGAGATGAGAAAAAACACAAGCGAGAAAACATCTCTGGAGGGATTCAGCCTCCACATGCTGCAGTAGCGGTGTGCCGAAGCCTTATTTGTAAGCAAGCAGTGCACAGCAACTGCCGCCGCTGTGAGCAAACGACGTGACTCCGAAACCTGCTCGGTTCAATTCCATTCAACTCTCTGTGTACTATGTGGTCGATGGCCACTTTTATTGTCTCATAAGTCAATTAGCCTCCTCAGGGGTGCGAGCTAATGGCCTCGGCTCGCTGATAAACATCAGACAGCTGGGAGTTGTCACCAAGCACACCCAGGATGTTCTGTAAAAACAATATTTCAGATTTATATTTCGGCTAAGTCTGCATGAACGCCAGCCGCGGCACAAATAAATCAGCCGCGGATCTGGGATCGATGAGAATGCGATTCTTTAAGCTCTAAGACGCAATTATTGCACAGAATCAGAGGTGGACTGAGGGCGGCTGGTGATGAAAACTGTCTGACTGGATGTAGAGCCGCTGATAAGGATGAGAGCTGATTAAAGTAGCCGGATGAAAGTGGCAAAATTTCATTTCCAACACAGGCCTGGGTTTCCAAACCGGCAACAAAAACAGGAGCTGCAAGCACCGCATGAATGCACACTGGCATGTATGTATAATGTCACATGTGCACACCAACTCTGCAGCTGTTTCACTCATCCTGCTCCCCTCCTTTCTGTTCTCCCTCTATGGATGTGTGCATTGAAGAGACCTTTATGAACTCAGACCCTCAGGCTGCCTCGTAGAGTACATACTCTGCACTGTGCAGCTCATATGTACTTTCCTGTGTGCACAAGCGTGTCTCTGTGTGTGTTCTTTGAGCAGTAATGTTACAAATATACCTTTTTAATGCATTTGTAAGCGCACTTTCTACTTGTGCAGGAAAGCGGGAGTGCCGTCGTGTCTCTTTTACAGAACTAGCCTCATTTTCTGTTTATATAATGTCGCTCCGTGTGATGAGTTCTAACGCGAGCAGAACTGATTTTCATGTTTATCTCAGGTCATCTCAGATTTACATTTCGTGTGAGGCCACTCGTGGATCTGTATTTCCGCGTGTGTTTGCGTGCGATTGACTTACGCTTTTTCGAGGCAGGCCTCCCTGGACATGTTCTGCACCAGAAGGTTAGACGCCAGGTTGAACAGCTCTTCGGCCCATTCCTGCAGCAAACAAACAACAACAGACGAGCAGAGAGCCAGGTGAGAACGCGGAGCTCAGTTTGACACTGATAACTGCTGAGGGCTGAAATATTGCGCTGCCATGTGAAATAAACAAAGTCATTCGTTCATGCATATAGCTATGCTGATAAATTCAATTTGGATCCTGAATGCGGCGACAGCACGACGACGCTTTACTCATAATTTACATACTAATGATGCTTCGCCGCACTGACCTAACAAATAACAACAAATAATACAGGAGAGCATGTTTTAATCTCACTTTTCCATCCCGCACCTAAAAAAAAAATAAAGAAGTTGAGATCGTATTATTGTTGTGCTGCCTTTTCATCTTTTTTAATTAACCTCTGACCCAGCTATTCCAAGAATACAGATGCAACACCTCAGACCCATGAAATGATTAGAAATGGAGGTTTTCACTCTGTAACAAACCACCTTCCTAATATTGAAGGTCTCTTGTGGTTTAGGAAATCCTTTAAATCCTGGAAGCTTCATGGCTTGGGCCTCCCACAGATTTTCGATCGGAGATGTGGCAGATTTAAAAGTCGAATCAACAACTGGAACTCCCTGCCATGTTCCTCCTGACCAACGTCCACAGTGCGGAAGGGAACATCATCCCGTATGTGGTCTGCAGCAATAATGACGCCAAAGTAACATCCACACGACTGCTGGAACCAAAGCTTCCCAGCAGAACGTTGTCCAGAGCATCACTCCGTCTCCACCAGCTCACCTTCTTTCCATCTCGTCTCCAGGTAAACGACGCATACAGACTCGTCGTGAACATGATGGAAGGAAAACAGGATGCATCAGACCAGGCTGCCTTCCTTTATTGCTCCACAGTCCAGTTCTGTGGCTCGTGTGTCCGCTGTGGGAGCCTCTCGGTCAGTGTCAGACCAGTCTACAGCTATACAGCAGCTCCACACACATCAAACTTTGTTTTGACACCTTTCTATCAGAGCAGCATTAAGGTTTTCAGCAGCTTGTGCTACAGCTGATCTTCTGTAACGTTGCTCCACACGGGCCAGCCTTCAATCTCCATCGGTTGTCCTTCCTCAGACCACTTCTGGTAAACACTGGATACCAGGAAAACCCCACAACACCTGCTGTTTTGGAGATGGACCGAGCTATAGTGTCTCTGTCCTTGTCAAAGTCTTCCAGATCCACTTGTTTCCCAGTTTCCTGCTTTCTTGCTGCACCAACTTCAAGAACTGACTGTTCCCTCACTGCCTGATATAGTCCACGTCTTCAGCAGGTGTCATTGCAACAAGAAAATCAATTTTATTCACCTGTCAGTGGTGTTGTGGCTGATCGGTGTGTATATAAACAATACAAAGGAGTTCTAAGATAGAATAAAACTTGAGCCACATTTTGTTCAGAAACCAAAATTACACAACATGAGAAATGCAGTGACGAGTAGAAAAGCAACAATCGCTCAAATGAAAGCTAAGATAAGACAATAATAATAACTTTATTTATACTGCATCTTTTGAAAACAGTTAATTTAAAGGAGGCTACTCAGAAATGATCACTGAACAACAGAAGGCTGATCAGGCCAAACATGAGAGAGAGAGACCAGAGAAGAAAAAGTGAAAGAGAGTTAAAATGAATCCATACAACAACACCAGATAAACTAATAAAAGAACAGAAACTGACAAAGGAAAAATAAAAATTAAACCACAAAGACAAGACTAGATGTAATATAAATATTGCAAAAGTAAATAAATAAAAAATAACTAAATAAATAAAGAATAAAATGAATAATTAAATGTAAAAATTATACAACAAAAATAGAGAATAGTTACAAGTAATACTGACAGTGTTAAAATACTGAACATAAATTTGGAATATTGCACATAAAAAAAGAAATATTTGACCTGAAACTGAGACATGGTAATAATAAATGTTTACATATGATTTTTTAAAATATTGCTCCTGATATTTCAGCTGCATGCACAGTTTCTACCTTCGCTATCTCCTCCTGGAAGGCCATGAAGTTCAGGTAGGTGATGTTGACCATGTCGGTGCCGCTCACCACCGTCAGCATCCTGTTCTCCATCTTCCCCGCCAGCGTGCTGACATCCAGCAGCTCGCGCAGCTTCGCTTCCTGAACGACCAAACACAAAGAGACAGAAACAAACCGATTAAGATCACCCACAGAAAGCGTGCGTTTTCACATCAGAGTCCGACGCCTGCTTTTTTTTACACCCGACTCCATTTACTCTGCGGCGAAACAGACCCGCATTCGAAACGCTAACAGGCCAAACAAAACTTCAGCGGGAAGGCAGACGACGTAAAACAGGCCACGGAAAACAGACAAGGACTTATTTTTTGAGGAAGTTAGAGGCAGCGCTGCTCTGTGTCACGCCGTTTGATGTGGTTTCGCAACAAAAGTTGGCCCCGTGAAGGCACTGAACCGAACGCAGACGTGTTAGCGTTTCCGAGCTCACACCTCGTCGGGCGGCTGATTTGGTTGATTAATGGGAGGTCAGATGGCGTGAGGCGCGAAGTGTGAGGCTACAAGGTCGACGTTATGGGATGTGAAAGCAGAACACAAGGTGGGTTGAGCAGCTATTATAGGAGAGACTGTCATTTGAAGACAATATGTAGACTTTTGTTGTTTCAAAGTAGAAAAGTCCTCAAAATATCTGCAGGGGATTGATTTTTTTTTTGTCATTTTTTACTTATTAATGACTCCATGACAGCTCTCCAAATTCTAAAAGCTTGATGTGTTTCAAACCCCCACTTTGCAGCTTCTTTTAAAGTTTGGAAAACATCCTCCTGTCTCATCACATTTTCAGCTTCAAACTTGAAAGATATTTCTCAGAACACCTCGTGACCGACCACAAAATCGTAGGAAAACAATGTTTCATTATAAATCGTGCGTGGATTCTCTTATCGGAGGAGATGCCACGAGGTTACTGCGACGCCTCTGGAAAAGTTTTTTGATAAATGCTCACAAAAATACTGAGAGCAAATTGCCTCCACCTTGCAAATTCCAGATTTAATACGACTTTAACTGCCTTTTATCATCCAACTTATTCAGCAGGTTGTTGTAGGAAGAAGATAGTCGGAACAAAACATCGGATGCTGGCAGCCGTCCAGCGAACACACATAAAAACTCTGCAGAGTTTGTTTTGAACTGAGACGATTGTCTGAGGGGAAGCTAAACCAAACTAATTTTAGCAAATATACGTTTAAGCTGCTCATCTTTGCTTCGGATCATAAAAGTACACAAACTGCCGACAATGCCTCTGAGGTGCAAGCGAGGAATAACAATGATCTTCTTCTCTCCTTTGCGGCTCGGTACGCAAGAGGCATACAAAATGGTTGCTCGGGCTTAATTAACACAACAAAAAAAGCCCTGTAAAGGATTTTGCAGTGAAAGCAAATGAGCTCCCACTAATTTAACCAATCAAACAAAGAGTATTGTGTCCTGTGTCACGCTGATAAATGTCCTCTACACGTCCCTCACGCCCCCAATCAAATTGCGCGGCTTAGTGGCGCCCGTTATTATCACGCTAAAGTTTTCTAAAGAACAATCTCTGGCTTCTGACAGCCTGTCTGTCTCACAGAGGCGGCTACTGTTTTATGTGGCTCAGCGAGGAGCCGCTTTCTGAAAGAAATATGGCTTCCTTGAACTGTCAGAAAAGAGGAACGCTGCACATTGCTCACATCACAAGTTGTGAGTCTTGTGTGTTGGACTGCACAACATGGGTAATAGTCACAGTGAAAACATGCAGAATTAACTCGAACGCTAAATCTTTTGTGCTGCTCAATACAAAAACAAAGCTTGTGTGGTTCTTATTTTCAAGTGAGATTCATCTGACAGATCATCATTTGCTCAGATTTAAGGGGTTCCGGGATGAGACAGTATTTCATCGAGCTGTATTTACATGCAGAATCCACATGTGCACAGCAAAACAAATAAAAAAACCACAAAGAAACACTAAAAATGGAGATTTGATTGCAACAAGAAACACAACATCAGTTGTTTGGCCGTTTGAATCGGCAGCACGGACCTCTTTGTGACGAGTATAAAAGCAGATTTGAGTGCGATCCAAAGCAAAAACCTTTGTTTGGATGCCTTTTTCAGTGGAACATCATACATAAAAAGGTTCAAATTGGCTTTTTTAAAAATATTTTTTTTACTTTCTATGCAGATGCACTCCTCTACTGAATCACCACCATCATTCCAGCATGAGTCATCCTTTCAAAATGAAGTTATTTAAAACATCTAGTAAAAACTCAGGCATTTTTTCCCCCATCTATGTCTATAGATTTATATTTTTATATATTTCAAACTTAAGTGCTATAAAGAATGTTTGTATAATTCTACTAACTTTGCTATTATTACTCTTGAAGTTTCTTATTTGCACTTTGTAACTCTAGTTTAGAAAAGCTCTACAGAAATATACGTTTTTATTATTAATATTATTTTTTATTAGTCAAGTCAATTTTCATATTATTTATTATTTCTGTGCCAAAATCTTGTAAATGAGGTCTTTACAAGACAGTGTGCTAAAAGTTTAAATAAAGGTTGAATGAATGAATGTATGAATGAATAAAAATTGGAGAAAATTATGTTGTTTTTTAAAGAAAACTACTGATCAATAACTAGTGACTGCAACTACTAAAATGACAGGTTTTCCATTCAGATGCTCAGATCAACATGAGATCCTCGGACTGACCTCCGATCAGCTGAACACACACATTTCTGAATGGGAATCCATCACTGTCCACTTACATATTCTGAATACCACCGGCCTCATCAGTCAAAGTATAAAAAGCCGCTTTCAATTTGCTAAAACACACAATACCAAAGCAGCCTTTGAGCAACGCTCTGGCCGCCTGCCAGAGATGAAAGGCTTCTGAGAACAGCCCAGATGACAGTAAGATGCATATTTCATTCATTACAGCGCCTGAACGTCGATACGGTTCTGATACTGTTTTGATGCTACTTGTAGCCATTAGCTAAAACGTACAGCTCAGCTCCTCGCGCGCAGTCAGCGACGCAGCGCTGATCTGGGAAGGAGCTGCAGGCACTTACAGCCCATCAGCTGGAGAAACACCAGCAGTTATGTTGGGAAAAGACTCTGTCTGGGAGAAAGCAAGGAGGGGAGGGAGGAGGAGAAAGTGAGAGAAAGCCAGAGAGCAGCGGAAGAGGAGAGGAAGGGGAGGCTTGGCCATGTGAGCGAAATGTAATTTGTTTTGGTGCATTGTGGGAGCCATTAGAGGCATGCCTGAGGTCCCAGTTACCACAAAAGACTGGAGGTTTACAGCGAAACAGGCGAGGGGAAGGTGGCGGGATGGGATTTGGGACGAGAGAACGGTTTTGTGTTTTGCACTTCACTGTGAGCGCTTTGCCCTTTTGTAAAACACAGTCATGGACCGCTGAACGCCTTCAATTTCCAGCCTGAATGTGAGTCATGTACCTGTGTATTCAGGCTCGCCATTCGCGGCGCACGTTAACAGCTACGGCTGGTCGATACGAGAAACTCACATCAGACACCTGACCTTCAGGTGGAGCTGCAGCCCGAAGAAGATTCACACTTTCTATCGACGCCGCCGCCGTTCGTCACAAGGCCTCACCTGTCAGCCGCCAAAGTGTGTCACACTCTGCTGCGCGTGAGGAAGGGATTCAAATCGGCAAAGTGGGGAAGTCAGGCTCACCTCAGGTCATTAAACCTGCAGCACGGCACCTGTCTGAACTCACCCACATTAGAGCGCACATGAAAAAAAAAGACTGCACCTCAGATCAAAACACGCACAAAGACGCACACAGTCAGATGTTGCGGTGAGTATAAATATACACAAAGGGACATCAGATCAAAAGAAATGTCAATATGAATGATTGATGCTGACCCCACTGCCTACACACGAGCCACTCGACTGCATCTGAAGAGATCAGATCTGGAGAACCTGGTTATAGTAAGAGCTTTTATGTCTGTTTTTATCCTTGTTGTTATGATTATTGGTGCAGAGAGTAAAAGGAAAGTGTGGAGACAGACTCTGGTCAAAAGTGATTACAGCTTAAAGTGGGGACATTTTGAGCATCAAACACTTAATCTTCTGCTTTCTGGTGAATTGTTATGCACCAGTTTTCTGCATCAATTTATGTCTTTATTTGTAACACAAATGCTACTAATGCATGTGTTCCTTTATCCCTCCTTAAATCTGCATCTCTGATATTAATCATTCAGCCATCAGAGAAGCCATAGTAAGAGCTTTTACTACGACCACGTGCTGTCTGTAGAGGCACCGCTTTGAGCTTTAAGTTCCCCGACGCAGACAGACTTCGTCTCATCGCCACTCGACATTTACCTTTAATGCAACGCATCGCAGATTTCTAACAGCGCATACGGAAAAATCAATGTTTATGAAGCAATGGTCGTTACGTGATACTCTGAGTTTATGTTGGACAAGTGGTAGTGGAAATATTTAATGGTTTTATAAAGTGCTTTGCTTAAAATATATATACATGTACAGCGGCAGTAGAAATAATTAATTAGGTGTCAAAGACGGTGAACAGTGTCACTTGTGTATAAATTGACTCGTGCAAAGTCCTTCTTTTCTCCTGCTAAATGCACTAACTCTCACAAGACCTACGTTTTACAGCACAAAAAAAAAAAAGACATTTTGCTTGGCATCTGGAGGATGGCTGCACTTCAGCTGACCCTGCCAAGCTGTGCAGTTTGTTGCAGTTCTCGCTGCATTTTTAAAAGCATCTGCACTTGCTAAACAAAAGGACATTTAAAGGAGCAGCACTTTGACGGGTTTATACGCAGAAACTGAATACAGCAGTCCAAGTATTTTTTTTTAGATTACATTAGATAGAACTTTATTGATCCCTTTGGTAGGGTAGCTCAGGGAAACTGTTGTTGTTTTATTAGGATATAATCACCTGTAGCGATGAATCGTTGTGTTTTCGTAAGATTAAGCCTTGGATGGACAGCTGTATAGTTGTTATTATACTATTTTCTATTAAACTCCACAAATGCACAATAGAGCAGCGTCTACATATTAAATGCACTCTCTACTGCTGAACATCTGCACTGCTGATCTTGTCGTGTCGTGACCGAGGGAACAGATCTTGGACTGTA